CAAAGACTGGGAGAGGATGTTCTGTTCATTCTTAACATTCTCTGAAATCAACTGCTTACTGTTAGTTACTTGAAATATCATACCGAACAGTGAATTACTGCTTTGCCAGGCTTCTTTTTGTTAATCAGAGAAGCAAAAAAAAAAGAATTTTAGAGTCTAATTCTTAACAGCGAAGGAACCTTTTTGTCCGTTTTTGATGCATTCGCAGGGTCATGCTTGCGTACGCTAATGTTTTAATTGATGTGAGGTAAATTTTAAAGCAACTCACGAAATGGGTATCCGTCTGCAACCTTAACATTGGCAGTGGATGGCTTTTTTTGACAAAACGCTACTATTCAAGATTCTTCAGCATGCATCCCTCTTTTAATGCCCTGATTTAGGCATATTTGAAACCTCAGGCGTAATTCCCACTTTTTTCTGAACTAAAATCGAGTTCGCTTTTTCTTTTTGAAGGAAAAGGGTGGAATTTGTCATGTAAATTAAATGATTGCTTTTTCATCTGATAATTGGGGCTGAATGAAAAAAAAAAAAGAGTTCAATCTGAGATCGATAGATCGGAGATAAAAAATTGATGTTGCAAGGGAGCGTAAATGGTTTAACAAATCGCTGTGTTGGCAGTCATGAACTAACCCAGTTTAGGATACCAGGGAATACAGGTTTAATAGAAAAAAAGGAAACACGTTTTTCGAATTTGAGCAAGTTTCCCGTAACTCAGTTTTGCAATCTCCAGGACTTCTGGGATTTAATGGAAGTTCACGCCCGTAACATTAAAACTTCATAAATCAAGTCTTTTTTCGCGAATTCTCATTTTCTTCTCAGTGCTGTTACTTTAACCGAATTTACCCCAGTGCGCAGCAAACTTCTCCACGTTCTTCGCTCGCTGTCAAGCAGTTTTTGCCACCCTTCTTACCAGTAAATTATTTGCATCAGTCCGTACGTTCCGCATTTTTCTGCTTTTCCGATATTTTTGTGCAGTATTTTCTTTTTAGTAAAAACTTTATAGAATTTCTGAATTAGTAGCGACTCTTGTCGACTGGTGAGCGTTCTGGTTCAGTTGAAGGCATTGTATATTACTGGTTTGATTTCTAGACGACATCTAAGAATGCGGATGATGGGCAGCTCTTATACTGAAGCTTTAGATGTTGAAAGCAAATCTCGTCTCCGATGTGTAGGATTTGCCGAGGATAAAAGCCTTTGGAATGCATTTCTAGAATGCCCTTGAGAATTGTGTGAATCCTGAAATTGATCGCTTGCATCAATTTCAGTGCTGTCTTGCTAATAAAGAAAGCAGGTGAAAGAGCTGCGAAAAATTTTCTTCGTCTTCTCTGGCTTTGCTTCTGTCGCCAATTTTTAAAGCATTTCGTGCATCTGCTACTATTAAGGGGGCAAGTCGGCCAGGCAGCATTGCTACATCCGTTTTGTTCCTGAGACAAATGGGGTGCTTTGTTTCGAATTATAAAATTCTCTTCTTAATCCAGATTTTTTTAATACTCGTTTTTCGATGCAAATGAGTGTCGCAAACCGGTTTTTGTTTCTTATCGTAGAGCCTTTACTGCATGAAACCGTACAAGTTCCTAAGTTTGAATACTTTTAGGCTGCTTTGTTGCTTTGAGTGTCCGCATGTTATTGTTGCTTACTGCTCCCTTAACAGAGCTCACAGTGCTTTCGCCCTCCTCCGTTTTAAGTTTGGAGGCCACAGATAAGTGTTCAACTGGGTTTTTCCACTCGAGAATTCGTAGAAGCTCTATAGGATTCGCACAACTTTTTGGATACAATTCTACAGTCTTCTTTACCCTTCTGTTGTTTTAAATATTTTAGTTCTTTTTCCTAGCGGATATATCTTTATATGTATCTGGGTACTGCCTACTCGGTTTTGCACTATACGAGAGGCGGAGGCAGTCAAATGTTGCAGATCCGTTGATAAAAAACAACAGGATTTTTTCGATCTATAAGGCTCGTGTGTTGTGTGCTTTTTGTTTTATGCGACGCGTCAGTTTTTTTTTTTTTTAACATCGTGTTCATAAGCAACCATTCAGCTCTCCCTAGAACTGGATTTTTATTGTTTCACTGCTCTTTTTTGCAGTGACATTTATTTTAGCTAGGGATTGAGAAACATCCACATGATTGATAGCAGAAATTAATCGTGAACGATTCTTTTTGTCTGCAGCTGAACAGACATCTTAGCTGGCCAGATACAGCAAAAGTCGCAGCTTCTCTAGTAGCTGATGATTACAGTGTAACTTTTGCTTTTTGTTGCCTTTAACTCACTGCCAGCTCAAATAAATACAGTGATTTGGTTTTGAATGTTTTTGGAATGTCGCAAAATTCTTAGCACACCCTGTAGTTTTGTGTATCAAAATTTTACTTTTGGTGTGTACAAGCATTGATTAGTTTTTCATCAACATTTGCGCTTTGTAGACTCTCTCATACTTATCTCTTTCTGGAAAAATTGGAACAAAAGGACGTGAAATACAATCAAAGATATTATCAGGAATAGCAGAATGAGCTAAAATAGGCGCTGTTAAAACTAGCTGGAAACGGCCACTTTACGTTTGGAAGAAAAAGGGTTCAATAACGCTGATTTCAGCATAAAAACGTTGGAAAAGTTATATTTCAGCACGCAGAACACAAAAATATCAGTGGAAAAGGGTACTTTGGAAATTCAGTGCGGACAGAAATTGTCTTACACCCTCTTTCTTTTAGGCGTCAACGCAGTTAGCCCCATTTTGGTTGCTTACCATAAGTGGAAGTGTATTGCCTTAGTAGAAATCGCCAAGCTGCTAGCCGTTGCATTCGTTTGCTTGTTTTTTTTCTGTCGTTTCCGGGAAAAAACGAATTCCCCCTCGCCCTCTTATTAAGATCCTTCAGTTTCCGGAATAGCGGTGTTCGTCTGTTTTTGTTTTACTACCGTCACTTTCCCTCTGATTTTTTGTGAGTACTGGATTACAGGCTGTAAAGACTGTGTAACTTTTAATGAGTATCGGCACACACGGACAACTTATTTATTTGAGGCGATATTCTTTTCGCCGAAATTTAGTCTCGATTTCCGAACTTTGCAATGGCGTTTCAATGGATTTTTTTTTCTTTTTTTACAGATTTTTGGACGAGTGAAATTGCACTGCGAAGTGTGACGCGATCGTCAGAGACGCAGTCCAAAACGGAGCTGACAAACTTTCGCTACGCCTTAAAGAAGCGCTCAAGTTTCTCAAAACAGCCATTATCGAACAATGTACTGCACACAACAACATGCAGTAACGACGAGTCCAAGCATGTGGACGAAAAACTTGGGGCCGTCACGCGCGCGGAATCCAGTATTTTTCTAGTTCCTTCTCTGTAACAGACAAAGCAGCTGAACAAACTAATACCTGTGTGACTGCTTAGGTCGCTTCAAAATTTTTTAATTTCTTCGATTATTTTATGGGAATTTTTGAGACTTCAAAACAGATTCATAACTGGTCGTGAAAATTGCATTCAAAATATATTAAATAACTGGCAGATTTTCGAGGCCTTGAGATTCTGCACCATAACTTCTTTTTCTAAATTCACTTTTTTCAGATAAAGCGAAAATAGGAACGTTTTTCTCCTCGCAGACAGCTCCACAGAACAGTATCGTGGCAGTGAGTAGCGGCGGCGGCGATGCATCAACTTCTGGTGGACGTTCATTGCTGAAACATGTGTTTCGCCTGGAGAACTCGTCAAATGCATCACCGTCGGCGCCGGACAAGAGCAACGGTAGCACGAGGAAAGCAGGAACGGAGCATGCGATGAGCGCGCTTGCACACTGTCGAGCTTTCACACCACTGGAACAACGCAAAATCACTTCGTCAGTTGCCATTTCCTCTTTTTTTCTAGCTTTGAAGTCCTTCATTAACTTAATACATGCTTCTTGTGTCGTTCTGTACAAACTCACAGCAAGTCATCGACACACTTTTTCAAATGTGCGGTCGCTGTTGATAAATTGCCATCATTGCCGGTCACATCCTAAAATCTATAATTCAGAAACTGAATTTTGTAGAGGTCTCCCCTTTCTCTTTTATATGGAACTCTGGAATTTTCAGATAATAACACACAGTGAGTGTGGTGAGTTTTCACGCCTAATGAGTGCCTACTGCTTGGAAGGAATGGCACGCATAAATGGTACTTGCAGCTGAAGCTAAACAGAGAAAACATTCAATTCAAGGCCGAAAGAGCTAGTTTAGCTACACTAATTGTGTGGGTGCGTTCTAGTAACATCAGCAACATCGCATCTCCATATCGATTGTCGGACCGGTTGTGAAAATCCTTGAAATGTACCTTGGTCGATACCTGACACTTATTTCTCAGGTGGAATCATTTACCCCAACTACATCGGCGCATTATTCATTCAAAATTGCGATGTTCGCTTTTCTTGTTGATTTATGATTGTTCCACTCTTTCAACTTCTGCCTGCGTAATAAAATTTGCAAAGGAACGAATATCCCCCACTGTTCCCTTCGTTCATTTTGCGCACATATTTGCAGAAGCCAGTCTGCTTTTGCACTGTCGTCTACATCTTCATCGGCGTCAACGCAGTGCGATTCCCTGGAGCCTCCGGCGCCACCACCATTCTCATCGGATGCGGGCGGAGGAGCACGAGGAGGTTTGTTGTCGAAGCGAAACTGGTTTTCTGGACGTCATCCAGCGTTGCATACTTTCAAACCAGGTCGGTCGACCAGCGACAATCCTACTGCTGCAGAGGGAATGCGAAAACTGAATGGCTTAAATTTACATTTTAATGGTTCATCCTTTTTCTTTTGCTGCTTTTTACAAAGTGGTATTCGTTCGGTGTATGTTATTGCTCATAATCAGTAAACAGCAAAATGCTTCGATGTTTTGCGTAGAAGAGAAATTCGTTTGGTATCTTTTTTTGGGCTCATTCGCCAAAAAAAAAAAAAAAACGATCAGTAAGACAAATATGGGCCTAACACATGGGATTATAATCAAAATTTAATGCTATTTTATGAATTTATAGTCGGTTCGAAACCAGCGGTGAAGCCGAAACCATTAGCACTGAGACGTGAACGAAGTGATCTGAGTGGCGTAGGTGTGGCTCGCATTGCTGCTCATTATATGGATTATGGCTCAAGCGCGGTTGGCATTCGACGAGCTTTGGTGCCGCCGTCGGCATGCCTGGACGAAAGCATCTTGCGTAATTGTCTGGAAGAGTTGAAAAAGAAAAGGTTTTTTTTTGTCGTTTACCATTTGCTTCTTTCCATATTTTCTTTTTATGCTGTTCAAAATTTTCGCGCTCTGCACAAGACGTTCTAAAATTCTTGATTCTTGGAATTCTTGGCGTTCTAAAAATCGACCTTCACGGTACAGTATTGCAACACCCGGTTTATTGCAGGCAGGAAGCGAGTTCGGAGACGGCAGATCCCCGGTCTTGCCAGCAGCAGAAGGAAGAGCGGAATCTGGGTGAAGCATTCGGTGAGAATAGTTTTGGCAATGCGAATGTTGTTTTGAGGTATGTTTGCTTACTTGTCTTCCTTTTATAGGATCTAGTCATCACAGCCAACGTGCTTTGCTGTTAAATACATGAGCTGATTAGTACAGCGTCTCCCTTCCATCCTGGATGAGGGAATTTTCTGTTGCTGCTGGTGGTCGCTGCTTAATAACAAAGTGGAAGACATGTAGAAGCGCATCAGAATCAGATCATTCTTCTGTTTTTCGGCCTCCTGCTTCCCGCCTTCCTTCCCTTTCGCTTTAAGGCTTGTCGGCAAATGCTCCCCTGGCTGCAGTTTTTCATTTCGCCGGAGCGCTGCTCGATTGATGTCCTTGTTTTGTGGTAATATCATTTAATATTTTCGTCATTTTCTTTTTGATGAAAAACAACAAAATCAATCGAACAGATATCGACGTTTTGCCTTAGTAAATTTGAGATGTTTGCAGGACACGCCCCAGTGAAAGTTTTCGCACAGATCAGCGTCGTTTATCGGTGCCTAATTTGGCAGACTTGACACACAGCGCACTGACGAGTGGTTTAAATAACGGTGTTGTTGCGGCAGCCAAAGCTTTGACATCGAAGCTTGGTAGAAACCCAGGGACAGGCGAGCTACAGGTTGCATTTCATTCCATTTTGCTGGATATTAGTTTCGAGAGTTCTTAGGCAGAATTGAAACGAAATCGTTTTTTTTTTAATTTATGCACTGCAGCTTTTGTGCAAAAAAAAAAAAAAAAAAAAAAAAA